ATTAATTATTAATTCCGTGTTCTAGCTTGTCTGTATAGAATTTACACGTTCCTCCCATCTTCATGTTGTAATTGCTTACACCTATATAGCGCTTTTCTGGACAGTCCACTCAAAAAGCGCTTCACAGGTAACGGGGATCCCCTCCACCTGCACCAGTGTGCAGCCCCACCTGGATGATGCGACGGCAGCCACAGTGCGCCAGAACGCTCGCTGCTGTTTTCATCCATTATTCTGATTTCTCCTCAAAGACTGCTGGCTAGTTTAAATTGTTCCTTTTTCTATGGCCCTGCAGTGCAGAACAGGCTGAGGTTTGCCACCTCGCTTGCCTATCAAGGAATGAGCAGTAGTGGCAGTAGGAGTATATGGTACTGTTGGTATTATCATTTAATATCAACGACTTCAAACTGCTGCACCAATACCCTGCTCCCCTCCCCACCACTACTCCTGGAAGGGATTCCACGGAAACCTGTGCAGCAGCATAAACCATTTAATAATAGTACAAAAAGTTTAGGCAGATAGAAATGTCTGAGGGCAAGAACCATACGGAGCCCAAAAAAAAAAAAAAAAGATTGGGGAGTCCCTCAAAGTCCGTGTTAGAAGGAATTAAGTCTGTTATGGAAATAAACTGTTTTTTTTTTCCCCCAGTGACACTGTAATATGACTGGGAGCATGTTCAGGTGTTAAGTACAATAAACCGAGAAACATGCAGCGGGGGACACAAGTGGAAAGGACGTGGAAGAGCATTTGAAACAGAACAAGAAGCGCTGCTATACCCAAAGCTTGGTTTTCCACAAATGGCTGGAGGTGATCCTCGGGGCAGTAGTTAGCTACTAGGCACCAAACAGGCTACCTGAGCAGACTGGCTTCTTCTTGTTTGCAGCTGTGCTTATAGAAGCTCAATGTTATAGTGTTACCGTAATGTTATTAACAAAGCATGGCAATGAAAAGGCCAGTGTAACATTTGTGTTCCATTTAATGTATTTCCCACTCTGTCATAAATGAAACTCCAAAGCTTTAATGCCCACCAGTAGGTGCTCATTCTTAAAGTAATTCTCAATTCTTAAGTGATCAAGACATACTGTGCTGCTGGCTGTACCTCCTTTAAAGCTCTCTTAAGAGTTCTTCCATGGGATGAATGAGATGATGATTAATGGGATACATCAGGCTCTTGTCATGTCAAAAGTTCAGGTTGCATGACAGGCCCAGGAACGTGTGATTCTGAATCTAGAAATAATACAGCCTCCTCTTGCACTGACCAAGCTCCCTCACATAACAGTCACAAGGCTGTCTTCAACCACCACAGTGCCCCAACACACCAAAACAAACAGCTGCGTGAACTGCAGGAAGATGAGTCAGGGGCCTGTGTGCTGTATTTCTTCCCACAGTACTGACATTCGCATGGCAAAACTCAGAAGATGAGATGTTTAAAAAGCATCTGTATAAACTGCTACAGGATACATAAGAGGAACAGAACAAATCATATACACTTCTGAGAATACGTTTGACCCCTGCCTTTGGAAGACTAAAGCACACTGATTATTAAAAGAAAGGCTTAAAAAATGAAGTGCCAGATAGACTTAATCTCTCTGCAATGGCAATATGAGCATACAGTTCAGATAACATGGTTATTGTCACGGCCAGTTTAGCCTTTAGATAAGCTAGTTGTGCTAGATAAAGAAACGATTCAAAGGATGAGGTTGACTGTTGAGATTATATTACAGAAATGGGCATACTTGTGACTCTGTTGCTGTGGAGCAACCTTTTACAGGTGCACGGGTGTTCTGGTCTGCCATGGCTAGGAAAGGGAGAGCAGCGCTTCTGGTCATTGGTCAATAGAGGAAGCCGCTGTTATTTCCAGAGCCTCGGAATCTGTATTTGCATATGCAGCTCAGCACAATCCACCCGCGGGCTCTGACTTTCACTTGTCTTCCTGGCAGTGGAGCTCTGGGAACACAGCACAGTCCAGGAGACGTGCTCCGAACCCTAAAGGGCTTGAGCCTTCAGACTGGGGTACGTGGTGCCATAGCCTATATTCTTTGGCTCAAGTGGTGTTTGGGGGTGGGGATGGTGCTGTGCCTCTTCTTTATTTGCTACCAGCTAATTTCTCTTACATTGGTTTTCACCGCCTAAAGCCAAATGTTTCTCTCAATGAGATGTTCTTCTTTCTTAGCCTCTTTAACTGTTATGTAGTGTGTATGGTTATGAAACAGCGAGGCACTGTACTATCCATTAATTAGTCAGTGTTGACGGGTTATACGTTTTCGTCCAGGGGGTACTTCAGTTATTATTGCAAGCACGGAACATGACTTGGCAGACAATGCCTTTCTCTGGTCCTAAAAGTTCTAGTGTGTTTATTAACGCATCACAGTCAGTATCACTGACAAATAAACTAACAACTCCATTTATGCAACAATCCAAGACAAGAATATTTGTTTACTTATGGGGAGAGAAATTGTGAAACAATTTCCTATAGTTAAACCCAAAATGATCTGCCGTAGGCACCAGCTCTTTCACATGCCACGCATCAAACTGAGATCCAACCATTGGCTGTGGACAGGAGCCACGTACCCCTGCTATTCCTTTCAGATTTTCAATTAGGTCAGATTTTTAATAAGCAACGACCAGCACAGCAAAATCCCACATGAAGAAGGGGAACAGAAGGCTTGCTGAGCAAACTGACATTGTTAAGAGTACCTTGCACACTTACAATGACTGTGGTTTTCTAACAGGACACAGGTAGGAGCCTTTAAAATAAAACTCTGTGACAAAAAACAGGAGAGGAATTAGGCTAAACAGGTGCATGAGCTGCAGCACTGGGAAAACAGATAGACAGCCCTATAGATGTATCGACAGGGAAGTGTGCTATATATAGATTTGAATATTTGACGTTTTTTAATAGATAAGGAATGTGTATTGAAATCTTAATATTTATATATATATGAAGCGTGGCAGAACCGGAACTGTAAGTAGATAGAATGAAATTTCATTTGGGGATGCTTCTGTAATATTTCTCAGATGCGCTTGCTGTCCACATTTCTATAAAAAATGACACACGTGTTAAATGTGTCTTATTTGCTAATGAAGAAAAGAAACAAATGAAATTTTTATCATGTAAACCTCATTTATCCTAGCACTACGTGCTGTAATATTAGACGCAAACGTGCATTTGCTATAGTCAGTACTTTAGCAGTTGTCTTGGAAGGGCTCTCAGTGTTATCTTGACCTTTGATACTGCACTGGCTGAAGACATGTGCCCAGTATAGTGAGTGACTGGGTGCAATGCTGAGCCTTACTCCAGTCTGGGGACTGTGAACTCACACTCCTTGAATTGATATCTGAGCCGCTCCCTGCGGAGCTTTAACTAAACGAGGTCCCTCTCTGGCTTCGGAAAAAAAAGCCCCTCCATGTTCCCAAGGCTATTTATGGGAAGGACAAATGTAAGTAATGACAGGAATCCCTTTGCAAAGAACTTCCAATCTGACTTTAGCCCGGGAAAAGCTGCTGGTACTGGCTGCAATTGCACTGTGCCTCATCGATTCAGGACAATCCAGGGGGAATTCTGATCACATCAGTTTCTGGATTTCTTCATATCCAGGTGGGAATTCTCATCTAAAAGCTTACATCCTCACTCTGTTCTTGATAAAGGTAGTCAAACTGTAACAATGATTCTGTTAACTCTGAGAATTTTAAGGGTAGCATCTTATTTTTCATTTTCAGGTTCAGAAACCTGCTTTCATTGATAACAGTATTGTTCAATTTGATTTCTAATCCAACTACCTATGCTAAATTAAAAAAATTGGAACTTTTTTTACATGTTTAAACACTACTAAACACTCACGACAAATAATCAGGAAAGTGATTGATGCATGCAATTGTAAAGTAAAAGCTAGTCCTTCATATTAGATTTATTTTAATGGATTAAATGATCATTCTCGGTGATGACTCTTCCTTGTGGATACTGTGTGTTTTGTAATATTATCAGTTTGAAACATTCGGTCTTCATTTCCTCCATCTACTTCCCAGAGAGAAAGCAGTCACTGTTACTGTCAAGCAGCTGATTCAGACAGTGGGTTGATTATTTTTTTACAACAAAACAACATTTTCTAAATATTTCAAATCAATACTCACAATATTGTAAAGCAGAGTCTGACTTTTCCAAGCAGAAAAAATATATTTAATGTTTACTTAGGCGTAATGCAATTATTTTTGTGTATTGATTCATAGAAGCAAAGTGTTTAGACCATTCCATTCAACTGACCATCCAAAATAAAGGGACACAACGTTTTCTTTAACAGAGAAGGTTTTCAGAAAGATTACAACTGAAATAATGGAACAAATAACACCATGCTGAAAAATAGAATAAAGACAGCACACCACGTTTAGAGTGTTAAACATTCTTCGGGTGCCAAATGTTAAATAAGGCTTAAACAGCCAAAATTGTCTTTCTTGCAATTTTTCAGCATGTAATGAACATTATTTCTTCACTTGTAGCAAACACACTGTGAGGCAGCTCTCCACTCGAACCTCAGCTGGAATAATACCAACCATAATAATATTGCTAGAACCTTTCCCAGTTTAGAAAGTTGCTTGTGCCATTCTGACCTGAAAGTACAATTGATGGTTTAATGCTTTGCATGACAGGAAAATCAATAAGGTGTATAAAATTCACCATATTCCTTTGCCATTATCCGATAACAGCAAACAAAAATGTGTTATTAGACGTCGGGGTGTTTTTGTTGTCTTTTTCTCCCTAACGTTCTTTCACATGGAATTTAAATAATGAAGAGTGTTGTCAGTGTGTGTCTGAAACAAGTGGGAAGAGGATAAATATAGCAGTGTCCTGGGTGCCTGGCACTGCTCTCGGTGTTGATGTGTAAATAAAAGCACCTTGGATACAGCAGAGAGCTGAGCAGTCAGGCCTGCTGTGTGTTTTCACTTCGTGCTTTCCCGGCTACACTTTGCAGAAAAGTAAAAGAAAAACAGGTTGGTGCGTCGTTGGATTTGCTAAAATCCGTCTGAGATTAACTATTTGCTTATTCCTCTTTGTGTGTACGGCAAACCTACTGTGTTAAAGAAAACAAACTAAATCTTGATAGCCATACTAGCTGTGACTAAATATGGCACAGATTTTTCTTTTTTCTATCAATAATGAGACCGCACTCAGCTGACAATAAATTAACCCCACTGGCCCTGGCTCAGTGCTCTCCGGTCTAGTGACACTTTGGTCCCTTCCGCGGCTTGGTGAGCGTCACTTGCATGCCAGGTAGAAGGAAACCTCGACAAACGCAGCTCGAAAAGCAGAAAAATGCCCCCGCCTGTCTGTGAAGTCACGCACATCCCTAACTTGTGTGTTCCAGCAGGGGATTGCACGTAATAAGTTTTGTCATAATTGAATTGCATAGCCAGAGTCTCAGCAGACTGAGGCGTGACACACTTCCCACACCAATGAGGAGAGCACTCACACTGCTGCTCCGCCGAGGACGGGCTTAATTTGGGCTAAAACAGGCACGCCACAAATCGTTGCAAGGCTCCAGCAGCCCTGCGCCCTCACACGAACGGAGAAATTTCACATCTCAGTTTGGACCTGTGAACAGACACATGTAAACAGGAGTGCTGTCTTCATGCTTAAAACTCCAGCTTATAAAATGTTTTGACATTGAAGAGAGGGTAAAAATAAAAATGATAGCGCCAAGACAGGAAACCCAGCAGGGACAGTGCAGAGAATGATCATCTGTCTCTGTCTGCAAAATTCATTTTGGGTTCCAGAGGAAACACAGTAAACTAGTAATAATTCCCAAAGTGCAATATTTTAATGACTAGGGTTTGATGATAAACATGCATACTTCTTACATCATTCAAACTACTAGTGGCTCTTAAAATTAGGAGTTTGTGCATTGCTACTGTGTATCCCACAAATCTTGGAGTAGTCATTGTAAATTGGTTAAAAATCAGGGAGACAGAAATATGGAATGTGAGGTCACAAGAGTGAAAACACGACGGATCTAACAAGGCATAAATCTAGTGTTAGTATCCCACCAGAACAGAAAAAAAGCTTAGTTCTTTAAAAACGTGTCTAGAACAATTTCACAGTTTTAGAAGTCGATAACAAACCCCTCAGACTAAACATCACAGTGCATACAGATTACAGTTAGGAAACAATCATAGCTTAGGGCAGCATTGCATAATAAGGTTCAATAAGAAGTCATTTTGTGATCCTTTTATGGGTTGGGTTTTCAAACACTCAGTTTTGTCGTTAACGCTAGTATTTGACACTGGTGTATTAGCGGTTAATATATTATTATCCATTACCCTTTACTAAAGCATTAGTTAATAATTACTCTCAAAGCTCACTATTTTTAAAGAACGTACACAGATGTCCACTTCATATAACCATTTTTATTAAATAGAAGGCAATGGCATTTATAAAGTATCACCAGTTTCCTAATTACAATCCTCAGCACTGGGTCCTCTTGGAAGAGAAAAAGAGTGAAAGCTGGTTTTTGCTTCGCCAGTTCCTGTCTTACAGTTGCCTGTGATGTGTACTATATCGGCCATGTGGGGTGATAATTTGCCTCTCTGTCAATGATCTAACTGGGCTGCATTTGCTACTGTGGTCAGACAGTGGGCTGCCCACACCTCTAGTTCATTTGCTGAACTATTGTCAAATTACTCAGAACTCTGCAGGGCATGATGTATTTTCAGGGGTGGCGAGTGTAGACATTACAGAGATGGTTTTGTATGGTTTCTAGATGTTGCCAGAAATTCTATTGGGGATGCTGATATACATACTACAACCATGTTGATTTGAATATGGCCTTTGCCTTTGTAAACCAACAACAAAGAGAGACTTTCATCAGACAGTCAGGCTCTGTCTCGCGCTCTTGCTGTGAGTGAATTTGCATGTTTACAAGAAGTGTTAGGCTGTAAGACATACTGGAAAAAAAGCAAAAAATAGAAAGAGGCTTGTTTATTTCTCCATGTTTCATCATCATGCAGCATTTTTACTCTGATGGGAGAGAGTGCTTTAACTGGGCTCATTATAGTGGATACCCAGAGAATTCCAAACGAAGAGCCTGTGAATATCTAAATTACTGTCTGCTCTGGCTTATAAACGCATGTGGTATAGGACAGACAATTATTATTTCTAGGCACTTTCGTGATGGTAGAGCTTGAGTCTACTGTTTAACAGGTGTGGAGGAAAAAATGCATGGTGCATGTTTATGTATTTTCCAGCTTCAGGAAAGCCAGTATGCCCCATACTATAGATGTCTCAAGCCATAGTCTTTCTTAAAAGGGAAAATTACATGAATCCCGAGCCACCACTAAGGGCTGAAACCCTCTCACACTGGTAAAGTAACTACAGATTGAACTTACCGCAGGTAACGTATCTATTACACACACCTCCAGGAGATGATTACCAGGGAACAGTATGTGCTGCGATTGCTCCCGTTGGAAGGTGGAAGCATGACAGCAGGCATACCTGTTTCTAAAATTATCTTCACACTTGCCAAGTTCCTATGCCTTATGCCAGTCCAAGTCCTGGAGCGCCAATGTGTCTCCAGGTTTTCATTCCAGCACAGCTGTCCACAGGCTAAACCGGCTGGTTACTGGCTTTCACTAGGAAGGAGTGTCTAGTGAAAATTTGGCTTAACCTGCCAGGCCGGGGGCTGACCTACTGGTCAGGGGACGAGGAGGCTGGGACCCCCCTGCAGAGTGAGGGCAGCTGCAGAGGGGGAGAGGGGGTGCAGGTGGGGTGTAAAACGACGTACACGAGGGAGAGAAGGGGATCACGTGCAGTATTTACAGTGTTTCAGGAGAGGAAATGACATCAGGAGTGATTGACATTACTGACAGCCGAGTCTGATTGAAGTTGGCTGTTGTCATCCCTTCCGAACATTTATTACAGGGTCCAGTTTAACCCCCCCTACGACCACCAACTCTTCAGGTTCTGCTGCTGAAGATGCGAAAGCGACAGACTGACCCTCTAAGGCCAGGTTTGCACAGCTACTGTATGCCTCCTGCTCACCTCTCACCTGCACTGCAGGAGGACTGAAACTACAGTGGCTTGGCAGGGCTTAGGCTGCAGGACACGACAGTGTGGAAGATCGTCTTCTCTGCCCATGAATGATTTAGGGACAGTGGCGCATGTGGTGATGCACGCTGAAGCTCAGCTGAAGTAGCTAAGCAACTCTGAAACAGAGAACCCGAAAGCCTATCTGTGTGAATGAGGAGCCCGACCGGGGAACAATGGTCCATCGGGCCCCCCCTTTAAACTGACCTGCCTGGGACACTCCAGTGGTTTAGTATTTTGTCTGGTTTTCTTGCAGGACTTCGGACTTCCCTGTGCAAAATGTCCAAACAGCCTTCCTCCACTGTCAAAGCCTTGCAGGTAAGAGGTACACAGCTCATTGACATGAGCCAACAGAGCAGTTGCATGAAACAGGAGAGCAGGTTGCTTGCATACTGTATATACAGTATAACAGTGTTATCTAGTAATTCCTTATTCGGCATTTATTATCGACTGTCATGAAGGCTTTCTAAAAATACAGCATACTTTACACTTCTAGAAGAGCCTCCCCAAATTGTGTGCTGAGGACCCAGAAGAGGACGTGTATAAAAAGTGTGGATCTGGGTTTTTTTTTGTAGCTCTTTTCTGCATTCAACCAAATATTGAATCGTTCTGTTCATTTCATATGAAGAGTATTCTAATCTGTTCAAATTACACACTGAAATTCTAACCCCAAAAGGGGAAGTCAAATATTTCTCATTAAAATTGTAACCTGTTTCAGTTCGAAATAAATGTAGTTTCTCGCAGCGATTATTTGCAAGTCATGTGTTGAGCTGCATGGAGTTTGGAGGTTGAAAGTGTGCCTCTGAAACAGCTTGGGAAGCCAGGTAATCAAAGCAGGAGAGAAGGAGATGTTCAAGAATGTCATGGGTACTCTAGTGGAAAACAGCTGTCTTTCACTTGATTTGCCAACGGACAGGAATCTGTTCTGTTACTAACATACTGTACTCACACATGACTGCACAGCCAGAAAACCGAAATGCAAGTCAGATGCTGTACACCACTCATGCCTGGTCAAAATTAATGTGCAAGCAGTTAGACATTAAACAATTTATTTGTAAAAGTATTTTTGTACATCAGGACAAAAACTTCAAAACACTTCATATTCCCATTTTTACAATAAACCTTTAACCTTAAAGTTAAAATACTTTATACACTCTTAATGGATACAGAACATTCACGGTTCTATTTTCTTCTGCAACGGCAAAGAAATCGGCTTTTTCTAATTGAAAATGATCAGTTGTTAGCATTCCTCCACTAATAAATATATTTTAGCATTGGGGTATTAAAAGGAAGTTAAAACACTCTAATAAATATAACGCATACAAAAATAGACCCTGTTCTAATATGTTATAGCTCAACAATGTAACATCATTAATTTCTTATTATTGCAAACCATATATCCATCTTCAAGTGTGCATTAATGGGTTAAAAATACATGTACAATTTTCAATTAGCAGGCCAGACTGAAACAATTTACATGAATTATTGAACCAGATATTAACAATGATTAAAATATACTATACAGCATGTGTATAAATACAAACAGTATTTATACACCCATCATGCATACAGAAGTCAATAACAGTTATTTTTGTTAAAAAGGAAGCAAGTGTTTATATATATCTATAAATAACCATAAATCATAAATTTACAAAAGTGACATAGTTACTGTAATAACGCCAATGCATCCAAATGTCCTTTATGTGTGCAGTTGATGTATTTACAGAATGCATCCATTTCTGACATTTAAACGAAAATCTTGATAAACAGGCACATAAAGTACAATGAATCAGGCTGTAAACTGTATACCCAAGCAGGTCATCTGCTCTGACAGTGCACTAACACTAGTTAGTAACAGGGGGGAAAGAGTAAGGAGAACCCTGCCCAGCTAATTTAGATGTGAAAGAACTGTCACTTCCATTCAGAAGAACTTAACTATTTAAAAAATACTGCAGAAAATAAATGCAAATGTTGATTAAAGTAAAAGTGAAACGTTCAAGCTGGAGTGTTTTGGATCTTATTCTTTTAACACCTTTTCGCTGCTCTGTCTTCTTCAGCTGCCCTGTTGCACTGTAACTCCTGTCCTCAAGGGCCAGAATACAGCAGGCTTTTTAGATCTGATCAACAGCTGGATTCCTGCACAAATTCAGCCAATGATGAAGTCAACCGGGCCGCTTCTTTCTCAAACAGAACAGTTGTTCATATGTAAGACAGAAAAAGAAAAACCAGTTCCAGCACAGGCATGCACAAATGGTTACAAATGACAGGAGATCGTTAAGAACTCGCGAGGAAACAATACCATATAACAGGAAACTGTAGACTCAGCTCTGGAAGCACTCTGGACCTGATAGCTCGCCTACGACAGCAGGTCTGATACTAAGAAAGCCCAGAGAAGAGCCAGCTATCAGGCAGTACTCTCTTGCATCCCAGGACATTTCAATGGCAGACTGGCCACTACAGTTTCTCAGCTTCATCCCCAAGGACAACATCCCTCACTGCCAGAGCAGAATGGCAAGGCACGTCACCAGCCCCCTTCCACGAGGATTTTCATCACTGTGCGTCTCGGAAAACAAACAGCCATCGATTCCCCTAGCCCTGAAGCACTGATGCTGCCCAGTCCCGAGAACAGTGGCACCTGAGCACCACTCTGTTCCGTGTCCAGCTCTCAGCCAGAGAGATCGGAGCTCAATAAGAAGGCTCGTGTGGGTTTATCATACAATTTTACATGTATTCAATTATTAACCAAACTATTTTTTTTTTCCACAAAGAAAGAATTGAAATAAAAGCCAGCTCGTAAGAACCACGTCTATTTTAAATTCAGCACTTGCTTCTGAATCGCTTTGAAGAGTGATGGTTCAGTAAGGCACGGCGGGAGTCTGATTCAGTCCTAAAGCAATTCGAACCACCTGAATAGATCTGTGTGCAGCAGGCAGGGTGTCACTCCAGTCTTATTGCATCTTTTACAGCACTTTTCTGGTAAATTATTTCATCTACCACCTCTGAAGGAAACAAGGAAGTCGTCTACAGGCCATTTTTAATGGTGTTCTTCAAAAGCACGAGTGGAACGAACCTCCGGGGTTGAACTGAAAGAAGCACAAAAACAGCTGCGTAACAAATATCTCCGATTCATAAAACGATTTCACTAATCAGCACATGAAAGGTGGGAGACAAAATGTAAATGTGTCCCGTTCAGGTAAAATAAAAACTCCTTTTTTTAAGGCTGCCATTCGCTATACAGAATGAGGGGAGAAGATAAGCCGGCTCCTAATGAACTAACCGGTTTGAGTGACTGCAGACTGAGCTCGAACAGATGAGCACAGGCTGCGGAGGCAGAATCAGGGGGAGGTGATGGCGTGTGGTAAGACTGTGATGTTTCAGTAACGGGACTTTGAAAAGAAAACAACACCGAACCAAAAAACACCTGGCACTCCACAATCCCGACGAGAGTCGTGCTGCTAGGAATACCGTAGTTAAGACACAGGACTATTATTTCAGTCAACAAGGCCTCTAGGGCCACAGGGGGCGTCCGCCTGCTCTGCTCCTGGGGGGCCAGGTTCCCCCCGCAGGCCGGCTCCGCACAAGGGGTGGGTGTGGACCCGCAGCTCAGTTGCAGCTGAATGTCCTCTCTGGTTCCAGGCCAACCTCAATATCCCGATGGGGGCTCTCCGTCCGGGAGCGGGACACCCTGTGAGGAGGAGAGAGGAGTCAGTGGACACAGACGAGGTGAGACCCAGCGACACTCCTGCTTCTCCCCCACTGTAACACTGCCAGTCAGTCTTCTTCGCCGCCGACGCTAGCAGAACGACGGCGTGGTGCATCTGTGTAAGATCCACTTCAGAACAGACCCGGGCACCTGGCCCTGTGCCTCTCACATTGACCGAGGTCAGCAGCCTAGGACCTCCTGGACCTACAACCCCTGTGCTGGAGTATCACAGTACACAAATTCAAATACTGAATATAGAAATCCCGATTTATAAAAGGTACTGCAGTTGCATACAAAGTAGATTGCATTTTAAGGTGTGTGTGTGTGTGGGGGGGGGTATTTGTGTTGTGTTTGAAATGTTGCAAAACAGCCTACATAGGGGTTAGGTCACTTGGTTTACTTGTGTCCCTTTGGGGGATGATCCAGCCACCCAGAGTCTGTACAAGACCCCTTCCGACTGCCAGAGACCGCCTGGGCACCAGGGTCTCCAGAGGTGGGTTCATGCCAGCACAATTCCTACAGAGTCAAACACCAAGAGCAACTAAAGCTACAGACCTTGAGCAGACGGTTCAACTCTTAAACCTAATAAGAGCCAAAACCCACGCGTAGCATGAAGGTCCCCCCCCGAGAGGCAGAGAGCGCACGTTTCATTTCTGTGTGGACAGTAAGAATAGAGACTTTTTTTTAAACCTAATCTTGGTCTAAATAAAGCCCTGTTTTGACATTCAAATAAGGCTCGAGAAAAGACCGTCATGACCGAAGTGAGCTTCCGTGGGCAAGAGACTCGTTGCTGCTTATAAACATACGTCAGCTAATAGTCATAATCATAATAATAACTTACACTGTGTTGTCTGCTTGACCAGGGAACTCGTAGAGGTTTAGGAGAAAACACTGCAAAACCGCAACGCCATATTGTTCGCCTGACACTCAGAAATAAATGAAAAAAAAAA